TTATAATTAATGATTTAATTAATTCATTAAATAATGAAATTTATTCATTATTTAATGAATTTAGGCTTAATTGAAAGGCCTTTCAATTAAGCCTAAATTCGAGTGAGTGCTGCAGTGACAATTTAGGCTTAGTTGTTGTTACATAATTTTTTTTATTGAGTTATGATTATTTTTGGAACAAAATTCGAAATTATTAAGCTGAAATGATTTTTTGTTTTGCTCTTTCCGTCCTGTGGGCTTCTTTTATAGTAAGCCCATTACGGGTTGGACCAAAGCCTCAATAAAACGGGGCTTGACATATTTGAACAGATCACTCTGGAAAAATTCCCGGGGTTTTCGATTTGTTCGGATTCGGTTCCGGTCCCCCCACCAGAGCGGCAGGCTGCCGTCTTAAGTATTTATGGTACAATGTTTATGAATTCTAACATTAATATTGTATTTGTTTTTATATTGATGGATTTTTAATTTATTCGGGTTTTCTGAAATATATTCACGATTGTTTATTTCATAAAGCTGAACGATACTGAATAATAAACACCTCTAAGTATCTATTCGAGTAAATTATGTGTGAAGACGAAGTTGTAGCTGTTGTCGTAGACAATGGTTCTGGAATATGTAAAGCTGGATTCGCGGGTGATGATGCTCCCCGAGCTGTTTTTCCTTCAATAGTTGGACGACCACGTCATCAGGTAGGTTTATATTTGAATAACATATTTTCTAGTTTATGTTGAAAAAAGTTCAATGAAAGATGCTTTCAAAGTTTGAAAAATTATTATTAATTTTTTGATATCGAATTTTAAATTTAAATAATTTTTAATAGGCTAAATCTTGAACTTCAATATGTGTGATAACATTGTAATAAAGATACAGAAGTTCTCTGCTATCCGAAAGTAGAGCGTCCCTACGAAATGGCTAAAGCGAAGAACCAATTATCATAAATTTATATGGGAAAATTTTTTCAGCATTTCCAATCAAAAATTTAACCTACCAAATCAAATGTGTCCTAAGGACTCTGCATTTTAGGAAACATTTCTCTAATGGATGAGCATAATAAATAGATAAAGCACAGATGCTTGCAGACACGGTTCAAAGCTATGACGCTTAATTAATGCTGAGAGGCCGAACGTAGTACCGAGGAAAGAGCTTGAAGTTGCTTCTCTCTGCTAAGGATGCACACTGCCTCTTAAAGTCGTACTGGTAAACATGCCAGGTATGCACCGCCGGTACGTGTGAATTCGGCTTAAAACGTCTCGCTACAAAATAAAAGACAAACGCTAATTTTGCTTTTCGCCTTTTTCCGTAAAAGCAAAAATTTTCGGATCTCTTTTGATTAGCGTTTGTTTCTGGCAACGCAACACTTGGACGATCTGCCTTGGGGGAAGTCTTTCGGGAGGTCTTTTTAAGGAAAACCGGCCCCTATTTAGGTGTTACATACGCGGAGAAAACCCAGAAAACTCCACGCGTGAACCCACGACCAAACTCCCAGTGTTCAGGAAGAAGACCTCTTGGCCACTGGTGGGCCGCTTTTGATTAGTGAAAACAGTTACTAATGTAGGTCTTCATAAAAACGAAGTAACTAAATCGGAAAATACTTAAATAGAAATAATTAAAACCTGTTTATAATCTGAAAACCATAATTTCTGAAAGATATTGATAATATGAAATACTAAAACTAAAATAACATATTAATTAATTATTTTTATTGCTTCAAAAGAAACACAAATTTTACTTTTCCAGCATTATAGAATATTAACATAGGAAAAGTGTGTGATCGGTCAAATTTTCATCTCTCCTCATTGATTTTTTTTCCCATTTCTTGACGTTTTGACACTCCGGGCCCAAAAATGTAAAAAATACAGTGGTTTTTATAGATCTAATATCTTAATGCATTTGTTTTATTGATACTTATTAAATAGGCATACTGCGAATTTAGCCTTATGTTGTTAAATACATTTATCTTGCAGTTTTTTCTTCCGCAGTACGAAAAAGTTGTTATAATTATTGCCGAAAAAACCAGTATANAATTGAAAATATCAATTTGAAACTTTATTAAACTGTAAGTATATATAAACAATAAGTATGAAAGAAATGTCAAAAAGAGAAGTAAGTTTTAACAAAAATTAATATAATAAACAAACTGTCGTCCCATTTTGAAAACAAGGGAGAGTTAAAGTAAATTAGTTTTTGGAATTTAACGTCAATATACATATATATAAAATACAAATTAAGTATATTTCATAATTTATAATGTGAATTGTTTGGAGTGAATAGGAATTGATGTAATGATGTATATGGATGAAATAAGTATTATTATTAAAGTATGAGTGTTGTGTTCAACACATTTTTAAAATTATGTTTATATAAATTAATTGCACATATATGAATTATTTCAATTTTTTGACAAAGAATAACTTTTTTAAAAAATGCATAAAAATAATTGAAGAATTGGTGATCTCCATGTACACCGCTTTAATATACAGGTTAAACGTGATCAGGACCTGTGTTTGATCATCCGGATCAGTGCTGGTCCTTGCATGCACAGTGGATGTGCATTGTGAGCTGTGATGTTGCTAAATTAAACAGTGTGTCAAAGTAGGGTACCCATNTTTTATAGATCTAATATCTTAATGCATTTGTTTTATTGATACTTATTAAATAGGCATACTGCGAATTTAGCCTTATGTTGTTAAATACATTTATCTTGCAGTTTTTTCTTCCGCAGTACGAAAAAGTTGTTATAATTATTGCCGAAAAAACCAGTATAATGTATGATAGTATTACGGAGAGACGGTCGGATGGCCGAGTGGTCAAGGTGGCAACCTACCGCTCTGGTGGACCCGGGAGCGAATCCAGTCGGTTCAAGGAAACCCCAGGAAATTTTCTGGGGGGTGGTCCGTTCGGATATGTCGGGCCCCGTCCCTCACCACCCGGTCGCACCATTGTGGGCCTGGCCGAACCCATAATGGGCCTGCTATAAGAGGACTTCCCAGTGCCCACAGGGCGGAAAGAGTATAAAAAAAAAGTTTTACGGAGACAAAGTTTGATTGAGCTTAATGACGCACCTTTTAGCCTACGACAGGGATGACGAATACACTGCACGCGTGCCTAAAGTGGCACATCGGGAGAAATTATTTGGCACGTAAAATGTACGATTTCATTTACTTTTTACTTCTAAATTTCTGTTTTTCATTATGATTTTATATCCAGTCCAATATATCATCATACTTTTCTCAATCAGCTTACATTAATTCTAATTAAAACATATTCATTATATTTATTTAAAAAATTATCGAGATCTAAAACTTTGGCACGTAACATTTTGAAAAATAATTGCTTGTTATATGGCATGTAGACTCAAAAAGGTTTGTCATCCTTGGCCTAGGAGATAACTCTGCACTTATATGCTTTATGGTATGATGGGTAACAATCTACTATCGGGAGAGGCCAGTATTTTTTGAATATGTAACTCCATNCGGATTTTTCCTTATCCGGACTACCTTCATCCCCAATTAGTCCGGATAATCGAGGTTCTACTGTATATCTTACACAGCATTATTAATATGATTTTGGAGGTTGCAGGACGTATTAAATTACTGTATTCTAAAAAATGAAAAATAATTACCGGTATATCATTTGATTTCAAGATATTTTGTATATTTTAAAAATAATTCTATTCCGGGATCCCGGGGAAACAGTTCACTTTTATCCCGGAATTCCGGGATAAGCAAAAGACCGGGAAATGGGAAACTCTAATTAATAGTATGATTAATAATGTAAAAGTTATTTGTAAAATAAAGCCATCCGATAGCCGGGAAGGTTATGCAAATCCTTGCTGTATTTTCCTAAGTAAATAAATACTTCGTTAGGTTTTAATTAAACAATAAATTTTAATTACTGTTAGTAGTCGCTACTCGAAATATATTTGATCAAATAAACTTTTAATTAAACTACTTTGTTTTAAATAGTCGCGTGTTCATCTTAAAATAGAAGAATAAAANACAATAAATTTTAATTACTGTTAGTAGTCGCTACTCGAAATATATTTGATCAAATAAACTTTTAATTAAACTACTTTGTTTTAAATAGTCGCGTGCTCATCTTAAAATAGAAGAATAAAAATCAAAAAGGGCCACAGTGGCCAAGCAGTTTTCGTTCCCTGAACACTGGGAATTCGGTCGTGGGATCGCGCCTCGGTCGGACGGGCTGGCCACGTGGAGTTTTCCGGGTTTCTCCAAGTCTGTTATGCCTAAATAGGGCCATTTTTCCTTAAAAAGACACGGAAGACACGGAAGGCACCCTTCCTAGGCAGATCGTCCAAGTGTTGCGTTGCCATAACCAAACAAACAAAAAAAAAAATCAGAAGTGATAATTTAAGCATTTCTAATAGCTTAAATCTACTGGTAAAGAAATAAATTATTGCGTAAATAATATTAATCATAGAGAAATTATCTATCGTCTCCTGAGGATCCAAGTTCGAATTCGGATCGGTTAGTAAATGTAGTTCAAATTCAATTTATTGACGGTTGGATGGCCGGGCGATTAAGGCATCAGCTTACCGCTCTTGGGTACTCGGGATTAATCTGAGCAGTCATAATCCCAGGAAGATTTCTTGGGCGGTCCATTCCGGATTGGTCTTCCATTGTCGATCCGACCAAATCCGCGATGGGTATGGTGAAAGGTCTTCTTGGGGCCNGAATCCAGGTTGTTTTTTTAACCCGGGAAATCCCGCAAATTTCTTAAAAATTCACTTTTTCTCTTGTGTTAGGATTGAGGAAATTTTGCAAATAGAAAGTATAATTAACTCATAAACTGTTAGAATACATTTGTATTCATTTTAAACCTACTTACTAGTTTTTTAAATTTTTGTTCGTTATGGCATGTCACAAATGGTCAATAATCAATGTTATCCTATTTGTGGCAGGACTCTGAAAATTCTTTACTTGTCAGAACCTGTAATATCTGGAATAATTGTGCTTATGCCGTCTTAATTTCTAACCATGCTCAGTAGCTTCGATAACTGCATTATGCCAGGTTGTGCAAATTGGGCAAGGATACAAACGAGTGCAAAGTCTGTAAGTATGAAGTTTTTCTTCATAAACCTGATTATTAAAGCCAAACGAATTACCGAATTATCGTGCTATAAGCTGGATGCTGCTATTAAAGCAGCCGAGATAGACAAATCAAGAATACTAGAGAGCAAAAGAAGGCAATCTCGAAGGTATTCTCGAAAACGAACTAGAAATCTTTCAGGCTACAGGTGAAAAAAACACGATATCTGTCTTCTCTTAAATGCATTAATTAAACACGATTCCACTCACATCAATTGAATCGGAAAGGGCATTCTTGGTAGCGGGACTTTACTAAAATAAGAATTAGATCGAGTGATTGACCATCTTTGCTTTTTAAACTCTTATAAAAATTTACAATAATATTTTTTGTTATGTTTTATTTAAAAAACGAAAATTACCTTTTTTTAAGTTAGAAGTTTGATCTAAGTTCACTTTTTAAAATTTTCAACTCAATTCAAGGTACAGTAGAACCTCGATTATCCGGACTAATTGGGGATGAAGGTAGTCCGGATAAGGAAAAATCCGGATAATCGAAACATATACTTTAATTTGTCTTTTAATGATAATACAACACGTTTTCTTTTCGATGACATATCGGTAATATTAAAAATAAATACTTTATTAAAATCGTGACATTCTTATAATAAAATGCATATAAAAAATTATGAAATCGAACTCGAAGGTTATATATCTTTCAATAAAAAGAAAACATTCGACCTCACAGGGATTCGATCTAGCGGTCTTGTAGTGATTGCAGTGCCCCTGGTGGTAACATTTGTCTCTAGTTGATTCTAGCAACGAGCGAAGATAGGAAGTCGAAAGACCAGTTAATCTACCGACTCTGGCAACAGTCTCTTCGGAGGAGTGGATACGAAACCCACACCTGTCAACACGCATTTTGCGCATTCTTCCACCTCATTTGTAATAAGAATTTTTATGCTCTTTTACGATCATGTTGAACAAACGCTGATGCAAAGCGCGCAGGAACAGTTTATCCGCAAACGATTCTGTTATTTCAGTTTTTTTTTACCGTAACGTGCAAAATTCGCATTCGCTTTCCGATAACCTTAGATTTCTAAGCGCAAATCGGATGTAGCGTCGACACGAGTATGATTGCAATAAACGCATTGTGCAAACGTAGCAATGTCATCGTTTTGCATACATGAACGAAAAACTAGACGTAAAAAACGCATAAACTGGCAGGGGTGGGATTCGAACCCACACCTCCGAAGAGAGTGGTACCTTAAACTAGCGCCTTAGACCGCTCGGCACCCTACCGACTGCTTGCATTTTTACCAAACTCTTAACTGTGCTTGGTATGCTGACTGACTTTTCCAAAAGATATGGGACAGCTAAGTCCTCGTGTAGTCGCCAAGCGTTTGCCACAGAAATTGACTACGAGTAATTAATTCCTTGCGACTATATGGCCTCGACGTCGTTCTGCACTAAATTAATATTTGTAATAGTCGAGGTCGAGGTCGATTGCGTTCGCAAACACCGCCCGAAAAAGAAACGTGGTTTCCACCAGAAACGCCCCATCCATCGTTTTTTCTTCGGAAATTGTTATTCTTTAAGTCGTCAAATTCGTAATTCGATTTTTCAACGAATACATAGCCAAACTGAAAGTTATGTCTGGTCTTGTGTGACTACGTGTACTGTCCGGTATTGGATCGTGAATAACGCGCACAAAGGCAATCGAAACGCAGATTAGGATTGGGAGAATGCGAAAGAAAGTTTTAGTGAAAGACCGCTTGAATTTTCACGCGGAAAGTCGTCGTAGTCATGTGTAAAATCTAGCGTGAAGCCAAAGCAAGAAACGACGAAGGTTTTCATTGAAAACAAAACGATCGTATCCGTATTCACCCGTATCTAGTGTGTGGAATTTATCCGAATGAAAGTCGCAACGATTGCAGCGGCCGGTAGGGGTGGCCGACGGTCTAAGGCGCTGACCAGTCTTTTCGGAGTCGTGGTTTCGAATTCCGCTACTGTCACTGCGTTAAATGCTTTTGGATCTTTGCTCTCGACTTTGGAAGTGCCTAGATTTATTTTAGCGTACTGTACGTCTTTCGTTTTCTCTTTTAAAATCAAATTTCTTTTGCATATCAACACTTTAGTAACGAACGTTGTAGAAATGGAATCTAAATACTAGTTTAGTGAGTGTAAGCTGTTAAAGAAAGTGGTTTAGTTTAAAACTATTCTCTACGGAGGAGTTGTAACTAGTATTTAGTCTCATAAACGAGAAAAAGAGATAAAGACTCAAGCATTGTATTCCAGCATATCGAGTACTCTTAAATCGGGTTTAAAATGTATAAATTTTTGCAAGAAAAAATTATTAATATTGAAACTTTCGAAAATGAACTGGATTGGCTCCAGTATTTTGGCCTGTAAAAAATACTTTTAAATTTATATATTGATTAAAATTTAAATAAAAGATTTCATTTTACTGGTCCTCAGTTTTAATTGTTTTTAATAAAGTTTACGATTCTAATTGTTTTATCGTTGCTTGTGAATTAACAATAGATTAGTTTCGCTAAAAAATTTAATGAATTAAGATGAATAGAAAATCAAAATTTCAAACTAACATTGCCAAAGACGATTGCTCGAATAGAATCGAGTATCTTCTACCCAACCAGCAGGCTCCAGAGTTTTTGGGAATTGCCGTAATTAACGAAGAATTTAAGGAAATCAAATTATCTGATTACAGAGGAAAATATCTGATTCTTATTTTCTATCCTTTGGACTTTTCGTGCGTTTGTTCAACAGAATTAATGGCCTTCAGCGAAAGAATATGCGAATTCAGGCAATTCAATTGCGAAGTATTGGCCTGTTCCACCGATAATCGTTTCTGTCATCGAGCCTGGATAAACACCGAAAAGGAGAAAGGTGGATTGGGAAGAATATGTTTTCCGCTGTTGGCCGATAAAAGTTTTGAGATCTCTAGAGCCTTTAAGGTGTTGAACGAGGACGAAGGAGTCGCATCGAGAAGTCTGTTCATTATCGATAATAAAGGCAAAGTGAAACATTCCACCACCAATGACACTGCTATCGGAAGATCGGTAGACGAAACATTGAGAATGGTCCAGGCATTTCAACATAACGATAAATATGGCGAGTTGTGTCCTGTTGATTGGAAACCGGGAGGTGAAGGCAGTTCTCAACAAAAGAAAATGTAAATTTCAGAAATGATCACTTTACTATAATTTTTGGTTTCGAGAAAATAATTTAAAATTGATTTATTCACTGAAGAAATGGAATGGAATCATTTACACATGAAATCATTTTCATATTATTATATAAACATATAACAAAATTTGTCATGTAAACGTATTTTGACATCTAAATTTTTTTACGCAATACACAAATAAATCTTATTAAGTGAAAAACTGCTCATATTGATATCATTTCATTCGAAACGATGCGACTTTTCTGTATAGACGGCGAGATTGTTGGGATGGTTAAAGGGTTAGCGTACTGCTCTGCAATATCGGGAATCGAATCCGCGCGAGCAATTTTCAAGGAATTTTTTATGGACGATCATAATTATATATAGAGTGATGTGTCCCATCCCTCACCGCACCACCTGCATTATGGACTTGACTGAACTCACAATAGATATGGAAAAAGACACTCTTATTGCCCAAAGAATTAAAAACTAAATAAATAAACATAAAATTAAAGAATGTAGATTTCCATGAAATACAGACACCGCACTCTTCTCCCGATTCGGTCTCCTTGACACTTCGCGATAAACATGACCCGGGACTATTCACGTATAGCCCAATGTAATCCGCTAATCGAAAAAAACCGGGCTTGTGTATATACAGACCTATATGTATATCTATTTCGGATATTAGAGTATCAAATTAGGAACATGTTTATGAATTACTTAAATTATAAGTTCCTAACTGTTTATTAAAGATATAAAAACGTGTTTTCTTTTTAATTTGTATCACTAATAATAATTTTTTTCGATATAAATATCAACACAAATGTTTAAAAATTGTATATTATTTTATTTCCTGGTCTCTCTCAAAGTAATAATTAAGAATTTCACGTCAAATCTAAGTATTTAGCAATTGATTGGGAGGTCTGTTTCCGTTTGTTCCATATATTACGCTGTTACCTTGACAACAGAGATAGAAACATTTAGCTGAAAATTCATTTTATTAAACTCCAAAAATCCAGGTATTTTTGTGTATTTTTTACAATTAAGTTGATAATTTCAATTATTAATTTATAGTATAATATATAAATAATATTTTACATTTATACAATACTGACATATAGGATAATTATATAATTTACAGTATTGATGTATTATATATATATAAAATAATTTATATAATATAATATTGACTTAATGGAAATAAATATTTTATTAATAGTTAATTGTTAATGTCTGGAAAATATCCGAATTTGCCTGTAAAGAATATTTCTGAAAAGAATAATGAACCGCAGTAAGTAAATTACAGTTTATAAATAAACTGACATAAACTAGACATTAGTTTACTGTTTTCTAATTTATATTGTTTAATCAATGCCTCACGATATACTATGAATAATCAGTCTATAGCGTAATGCATTTTCAATCTAACGTTAAGAACAAATGAATAAAATGCAGGTAAAAAATAGTTAAATGAATATTTTATTACTGTAATTTCATACCTTTATTTAGTCTTCTTGGAAGGACGGCAAAGGTTATTCTTTAGTATTCTCTTAATTATAATACTAGACATCAATTATTACTCGATACTTAAAGCTAATTAATGTTTAATATACACAAACCTACTTTAATGCTTACTGGTTATACGTAGCAGCATAATAATATAATATAAACTTATATAATTTATACATAATAACACTAAATTTAAAAAAAATTACTTTTTATCATTATACAAATATATTTATTGTCTGATTCTAATAACTGAATCCATTTTTTTTCTTCTATTATACAGGGGCGCCGACAGGGAGGCAAGTTAGGGCGATTATTCATTTGGATTTGGTCGCTAGCATTTAAACAAGAAGTATTTCTCTAGAAACAAATAATCGACATACAGATATATTATTAAAAAGTGTATCTCAACTTGGAAAAATTCCTGACGGCGCCCATGTTAAATAGTATTTATACCTTATGCAGGTTATTTTTAAAAATTGTATGTATAATCTATACTATTATAATAAGTTATACTCACGTCTATACTATTATAATAAGTTATAATTAGTATAAGTTATACTCACGTCTATTAGTATCACTGCACGTTATAATAGTATTATAGATCTATTTAAAATATAATAATAACTGTATTAATATACAGGATGTAAGGAAACTCCGTGCCAATATTTTAGAAATAGATTCTAGGATAAAAATAAAGTTAAAATCCTATAAAAGATTGTTTTCCAAATTTCGTTTCGTTTTCAAAATCTGGCCTGCCAAAAGAGTACTTTTCGAATTTCCGGTTAAAGTATCGGCACCGGAGTTGTCTACCTTTTAAAGTAATGTACTTTTTACACTCCTGTCAAGCAATTGAGATAAGGAAATGTTACCCAAGTAGGCCTTGCTTAAACAAAGCCTTATGATTTTGCAGTATCCATTCGCTCTTCAGTAAATAAAGTTGGAAAGCAAGAGCAGCTCAATGTAAATTTACTTTGAATAACATTTCGATATTTACATAGTTTACAAGGCTTGACATTCACTTCACGTGACAGTAGGTAAAGCTCATTAGTCGTATTAAAAAATTCAATATTTAAAATGAAGCTTCAGTTTGTAGGGATTTGTAACACAGAAGTGAAAAAGCAGCTGTACTTTTTTGACAGGAGGATTAAAATTAATTTTCTATATGATTTTTTTTGGCTGGTCATGAAATTTGAGAAACATTTATAGAAGATTATAAGCTTAATTTTTACCGTGAAATCTAGCTCTAAAATATTGGCACGGAGTTTCGTTACATCCTGTACATAAAAAAATTATAATTAGTGATATTATAAACAATTATATTAAAAAGTATTTAAATTTGTAATGAAAAAATTATCGTTTAGTTATCTTCTAACAATTATTATTTGTTTTTTACTTGTCATTGTCATAAATTAAAAATTAAAAATTTATTTTTAGATATTCTTGTAGTCCTAATGTCGACTATTTATTAGCTCTTCAATCTCAGTACATTAACAACTTGCAAAAACAAGTCTATTATTTGGAATCTGAACTGAAATATTTATATCCTTTAAATATTATCATATTTATTTTACTGTATAATTTTTAAAATAATTAATTCTTTTTGTTTTCTTATCTTAATTACAGGAAATTGTTACAATTTTCCTAACTTAATATGAATTTTTCAATATTATTTTCATACTTTATATACAGGATGATTATAATTAAAGTTCCACTTTGAAATGGCCATAAAATGAAAACTACTGGACAGAATGTTATCAAACTTGGTAATAGTGTACAGGACGTCGTGGGATTTTATTTCCCGCGAAAAACATAGTTCAGAAACTCGCCACCAATGGCGCTGTTTGCAATATTGTTAAACGAAATAAGACATGCAGACATCGTTGAAAATGTTTTTAATCGGTTTTAAAACGCGTTACAGAGTATGTTCAATGTGGCTTCCACCATCGCATTACTGTGTTCTCAACAGTAGCTCTTAGCACATCACTTTCTTCCTGCCATAAGCCATTGTAATTTTACGTAACCCCGCAAACAGTTTCGTTTTAAAACCGATTAAAAACATTTTCAACGATGTCTGCATGCCTTATTTCTTTTAACAATATTGCAGACAGCGCCATTTCTCGTTGGTGGTGCGTCTTTGAACTTTTTTTCGCGAGAAATAAAATCCCACGACGTCATGTACACTATTACCAAGTTTGATAACATTCTGTCCAGTAGTTTTCATTTTATGGCCATTTCAAAGTGGAACTTTAATTATAATCACCCCGTATTATTAGTAGAGCATTAAAATATATAATTATAAATTTTTATTATGACTATATATAAGTAAGTTATTAATACATAGAGTAATGGAATATTCCATCGTACAAGATATCGAAGACATTCAAAAAAGAATAAACAGAAATTGGTACAAAATAACTTTAAACTATCCATTAATCAACGATTATATGCTAACAAATCTTGCATTTAATGTTAAAAAATTCTTTATGCAACTAAGATTTAATCAAAACGGAATAATGTTAGGAAATAAATACATAGAATATGCACAATGCAAATGCCCAAATTGTGGTATACCATTATAAAAAATACACATTTTTAGTATATGTAACAATGAAAATGATAATGCTGAAAATTCTGAAATTAAGCAAATAGTCAACTGTACGAACGAGATAGATATGTATAAAATATTGGACAGAGCGAATGTTAATACTATCTTTAATCTTTATAATTATATGAGGGAAATTTTCAAAAAATAAACGGTTAATCAAGAACCTAAACTAAAATATATGTTAGATACAAAGAAAAAATTTATATGTAAAGAAGTTATTGATTGTAAAGTTGTATTAATTTATGTTTAAATAGCACTCTGTAACAGGCGTTAAAATAAATGATGATGATATATGAGTTTGTAAGGCTATACAGTAAACACTATTTATTTTAGATAATTATAATGATATGTATTGTAATATGTATTATGCATATAATATATATATATATGTATTATGATATTATTTATGTTATTGAAATTACATATTAATGAAATGTTCACCTTGTTATTCAGTTTTAATTTATTTAATAGAATAGAATGTATCGGTAACAGGTTGAAAAAATTTATTTAAAACTTTGAAAATTAAAATTACTATAATTATAGTTTTTTTAATAGTATCTTCCATACAAAATAAAATTGTAGTAGATCTAATCGAAATTTGAAGGCTAAAATTTTTGTGTGTTTACCACACAAAACACACAGATAACAACACTTCTTGTTTTGATATTTTCACCCTCGACTTATTTATAATTGATTAAAGTCTTCTTATTGAGCTACAATTTTCAAATTGTAGACCTATAAACTACCACTTGTCTGTCCTTCCTTAATCTTTGTTGCTCCATATGAATCTTTTTCAATTTAGCTATTTTGTAGTTATACTCAAAATAGCACAGTATGACATTAATTAAACTGGTCTGTAATTAAATTTGAACATATTTAAACAATGCAAATGATTCTAATAAAAACTTTAATATCAATTTATATAAATTATCCTTAATTTAAATATAATAAAACTTATATCAAGGAATCAGGAAAATGTCATCCTGGATTAATAACAGAAATGGAAAAGGTGATAGACAAATTGATGGTATGTTGGATTTAAAATTAATTTTTGCTTTAAAATAAATTTTTATTAAAGAATTTAATAATTTTAATACAGGAGACAGAAAAAACAAACCGTTGCCTTCAAGATGAAGTAGATTGTCGTCAATTGATAATTACTAAACTCAAGAACGAGAAAAGTATGATAAAAAATGAAATGAAGATTGCAGAAGGTTGATATTCGTAATTATAAATCATAAATATGTTCTAAAATATACTCTTATCTCAGTATAACGTATGATTATTTAAATAAAGAATATTCTTTACTTATTTAGAAAACCACATGAGTGAAAAAACAACATGGATTGGAGAAATTGTTGAACTTCGTAAAGTAAATAACCAATTAAAAGATACTATAGATGAATTAGAACAGAGTTTAAACAGCTTCAAAATACGTGAAAGTGCGACCAATAAGAAGTTATTAGAAAAAGAAGCATCAATTAAACAATTGACAGAAGAGGTATTATCGAATCTAAATTTAAATTAAATTTAAACTAATAAAATAGTTCATGAAATATTAAATTCAGTTGTCAACAACTAGAGATATGATCGAAGAATTAGAACAAAATATAAAAATTCAACAAGAACAGTTTTATAAAGGGAAATTCAAAACAGAAAAGACAGATAGTAAAATTGCGGATAACACAATTAAATTAAAGGTATGTTGATTTCTATTTAATTATCGTCATTTGTATATCTTATTTATGAAAATTGTAGAAGGAAATTCAACGATTGCAATTAAAACTTATGCAAGTTGAACAAGAATTAGAAAACGAAAAAGTGCTAAATGAAAAGTTAATTGAAATTAGAGATAATTCAGTTTCAGCCCAGTTAGAACTGGAATCTGAATTGATTGATTTTAAAAGTAAACTAGAAAAGGTATGCTTTATTAATTAACTATTATTATTCAAGTTATAATTAGCCATTCATTCAATAATAAACATTTTTATAAGGAAGAACACGAAAGAGCTCGAGTTGAAGATTTGCACGAAGATTTATTGAAAGAGTTGGCTGAAATAAAAGCTTACGATATCCAGCAGAAAGCTTTGATAGAACGGCAAAAAAGAGCAATGGAAACGAATAAAGAACAACAAGAGGATCTCGAAACAAAAGTAAATTTCAAAATTATATCTATATTTATTTAAACTTCCAATTTAAGTAGGAATACACATTGTCGTTCATTTAAAATTATTAAATTTAAATTGAAGTCATTCATTACTTTTTACAAACAAATTTTTATTAGAATTATATTAACGAAGTTTTATTCAAATTATTTTATTATAATAGAAGTGTCATTGATACATGTATTACAAAGTATTATCTTATCTGCTACTATAGATGTTGAATGCGATTTGTTTTAGATTTGGAGGAGATAAAAATCTTATTAATACAGTTTCTACTTTATGTACCTAGGTTCTAAAAACATATAATATTTTAATTTTTAATTAAATGTTTTACTTATACTTGAAGTACAGAAAAATGAATTTTATTATTTACCAAACAAGATTACTCAGATAAATTAATTAATATATAAAATTGCTTGTCTTGACTGACTGATTCATTCACTCACTGAGTCATCATCGCCTAGAGCAAACCGCTGAACCTAGAGGTTAAATTTGGTACACAGTGGTACGCGCACTAAGAAGGGATTTATCGAAATTCCCCCGCGGAGGGAGAGGGAGAGGATTAAAGCCTGGTACCCACATGCGGCAACGGACGACGGAAACGGTCGACAGAACGGCAAAATGACGTCACTTTTGCCGTCGACGTCGACGGAATACGAAGTTGAAAATTTTCAACTTTTGCCGCGACGGAAAGCGGCACGGCAAAAATTAGACCAATAGGAGGACCGTTTAGCGATGTCGTCATAAAGATCACGTGGGACGATAGCGTTCAAACTATGGCGGTCGGCAAGCTAAAAAGCTTTATTTATACACTAATACGCTAATATATTTCATTTATACGCTGTATTACTATCCGATTTAAATATTAATGTCAAATAGACTTACTGCGTAAAGTATTGGGAATGGAGTAAGCGTAATTCGGCGACGAAAGTATTCGATATTCCTAACTTTCGACGATTTAGAATATTTTTCCTATCCAAATTATTCGTTTTTGAGATTTTTTTTATTTGCGATGAATCGAAGGCNCCGTGCCGATTTTTTGAAACACGGACCGATGCATTTGCGGCCGAGTACGTAAGGAAAGGCGGCGTTTTATCTCCGGCGAGGCGTTAGCTTAGCCGCTTACTACGCATTTGGCCTCGCATGCTGCGGGCCGGCGTTCTTTTCCCCGCACACCTCGGTGTGTCTTACGCTTTCACAGCAGTGTCGTGCCAGGCTTCCCGTGGAGGCTTGAATTGGCCGACGTGTTACTATAACAGGTCTGTTGCTTACGTGAACCGCCTCTGTCTCGATGCGGCTCCGAATAAGAGACGGGAATCCAGTTTCTCGTCGGCAGGTCGCTCGAAATCTGTTAGCCGACCAAATCAGAAACCTCGACGGCCGCTGTTCTCTCTCTGTATAGTCGAAGCAAACCTGGCATAGTGTCCCCGGCGGCCGGTGTACGTAGCCGGACCGACCGGGGACTGATTGTAGACAAGAAGCAAACCTAGTTCGTTCGGGCTCGCTCGGATCCGCTTCGGACCTTGCGAGCCCGTTAGCGAGGGAGTAAATTTTTTTTATTAATGTTATATTTTAAAAGCTTTCAGAAGAATACCTACAAAAATTAGAACAAGAGCAAAAAGTAAATGAGCTTCAAAATAAAATAGACTCATACACCAGGAAAATAAAAGAATGTTTAGAAGAGAATTCAATTTTTCAGCGTGATAATATTTTATTGAATGACAAAATACTGTTTTTAGAAGAAAAAGTGAGTATATATTATATTTAAAGTATGTTTTAATGACTATTTCTCTTAATATTTGTTAAAATATAATATATTGATTCAGATAGATAAGAGTTTATTTTTTTAATTTATAAATACATTTTTTAAAATGAATAATTCCATTTCAACATTAAAATGACTATCGTATACAAAATCTATATTCAAATTGAAACAAAATAAAAAGTAAATTATTTATTTAAATGTTGCTGTAATAATTAAAAAAGTTTTATAATTATTTATTTAATCAAGTATAACTCTTAAAAAAGTATTTTCATTTTAGATGAAATTGAAGGAAGAAGAAATAGAAAAAATGAAACAACAAATTCTAGAAATGAAACAATCAGTAGATTTAGTTTTAAAGCAAAATGAAGCTGCCGTACAAATACAAGATTGTCGTTGGCACCATATATTACAATTAGCTAATGGGATTCAACAATTGAGTAAAGATGCCATGTGTGAAAAATGTTAAATTATAATTATTGTTCCAAAATAAAATCTTGAATTTTTATGCGAAATGTCAAATATTAATATAAATTAATCCATTTTTATTAAATTAATTTATATTATTGATTTGCCACTTCTCTGTTTTATATTTTATAGAAGCATTAGCAATAATTCTATCTCTATATTAATTATACACAAAGATTTATTGCAAAAGTATAATTATGCATAATTATACATCAGGAAATTTTATGTCTAATGATAATTTATTCCATTTGAATGATTAAATGTATATAAATAATTATTTTAAATTTAAATTATTTAATATCTGACTACTTTAATTTTATATTTTATTTTCATTTACAACTATTAATTAATATAGAATATATAAAAGTATGAAAAAATTTCAATAAATAGTAGAAATTCTAAATATAGAAACTAACAATATTGTCAAAGTACTATTGAATTGTAGAATAATTTAAAATTTCATATTCTTCTTCTATGAGAAAATCTATAACTTGGTATTTCAGTAGATTTGTAACCACAAAAATCTACTAAAGTTTAAATTTATTTTAAAATATATATTTACATATAGAATAGAAATCATGGAAGATTGTACAAATGTATTATTAGAAATGCGATGAAAAAACTATTCAATTGAAAATTCTGAAAAATAAAATAATTTTATTTAATTAGAAGAACTGATTGTATTATATATATATTTATAACTTATTTCTTCCTTCTTCAACATAATAAATAACAAATATTTAAAAAGTTTGTAAATAATGTTTATTTTCATTATTATTTTAAAAGTAAATTTATTTAATGGTCTTCACTTATTATTAAAAGGAAATCTAATTTCTGTTTCATAACAACACTTCCAACTCTTAAATATCTATTTTGATGTAAGTGCATGGGCATAACCTAACATACATTTAAATTACAATAAATAAATATTTTGATATAATGGATATCGAAGCGAAAGATAGATGAATTTGTGATCAAAAGAGACCTTGACTGGATAGAGTTATCGTAAGGGAGTCACCAGAATTTTGACAAAGCGGTGGTAATGGAGACACAACCTCACGATTCGATTTGTCCCTTATTTGTTTCCGGACGAAATTAGAGCCCTTCTCGGACTGCGAGAAAAAATAAACGTCTACATTTAATTCGATCCGAATCGGAAATGTTCATTGATTTTAGGATCCTCATTGTCTTAAATCGGATACTGTTTGTATAAACTTTCTCTGGCAGTTATTTGAAATAAAGTTCGGCGTTACTCACAAATTCGACAGATTGTAAACAATTCAATAAAATTTATATTCTTTGGTAAAGTTATTAGAATTAGGGTATTAAGATGAGGTCTTAATCACCCTCAGAACCTCACAATTTCCTTTGAAGATTGGTCGTACAGTACATCTTTCCTGTAATCCCTAAGACACTGTTGACAGAGTAGGTATACAGATCTAGCATCACAACATAGACCCAGTGTCTCTTCATTCTTTCTACTGCAATATAGTGATGAATGGCAGCTAGTATCTCCCAACGTGGGGCCCACGCAACACAGGGAGCAATTCGAAAATGGACTTGTCTAGAGTTTAAGTGAACCGTATAGCCGCTGTATATGTTAGGGGAGCATAAGAATTTTAGAAAGGCTTAGGTGGAGCATAGCACAAAAAAGGTTGGGAAACACCACTCTATATGGTTTGGTTTGTTTATAGCAATGAAACACATGGTAATCTGCAAAACCCATTGGCAAGGCGTGAACCAGCAACAAAATACCAGTGTTTAGTGATTTTATTGGCTTTGCCACTGGTAGGCCCCTTCTATATCAGAAGAAATCAAGTGGTTGGTATGGAATGGGTGCATTCTGAAAAAGTGCATATGGATGCATTTCAGAAAGAGAAAATTTATCATTAGATCTTCATAAATCATCCATTGGTGAGACTCTAGATACTTCATCTTTTCCAAGATGAGAGTTACAGTTATGTACTTTTCTTTTATAATGGCAGAATGACCATTTGTACCCAAGCAATATGATTGGAAATTATAACATTAAGTATGCCCAATTTTAACAATCACGTGAACTAGATTTTTGTTACTGAGCAGTCAGAAAGACGCGCGGCGCGATCTCGCACGGCCCGATTTTGGGGGGAGCTATATCTTGTGAAGGGTCGCCCGTAGGGGTGTGGTTCATTAGACATTTATTGATCACAGAGGGTCAACCGATAGGGGAATCCCCCTACCGGTTGACCCTCCTTTTAAAATTAAAAATTTTAAATCCAATACTCAAAACTAATTTCATTGTTTTTAACTCATGTAACGTTTTCATTTAGTTCGAGTTCAAATCCTGATAGTTGTTACTGTTCTGTAAAAAGCTGTATTTATAAAACTTGAAAATAAAATCTTTATAGTTCTAAATGGAACTGTTCCTATCTTGGCGCTTTATATCAGTATTCCGCAACTTTTTTCTACTTGTGGCACACCCATGACTCAACACAGCATACCAAAATGTTATTCCCTCAAAAACGTATACCGGTACTATTAATAGAATTATATAATGCCACTAACCTAATAATAATAGGTTAGTGGCATTACATAATAATAATAATATTATTATTATTAAACAGACATCAACATCTGTGAGCAAATTTATTTNACTTCCGAGCCGGTATCACACTTTGATCTGGTTACTACCATAATAATTATCTCCACAGAATGTGGGTGTGGTCACTCCTAGCTTCATTTCTCCCCATAGACCTTACTGGCATGGGTGTCCCTACTAGGAGCTTGTGCTCCAGCCTGCATTGCTCTATGGTTCAGTGAAATTACTGGGCTCTCCCACCACGACCAGGTGGTGACCACGGAAGAGTTATTATTATTATTATTATTATTAAACAGACATCAACATCTGTGAGCAAATTTATTTTACATATACTTTCTTAGAATACATAAAAACGCATGGCTTGTAATAAACAATCATCTTATTTCATCAGTGCTGCGGTATAGAATGAAATACAAGCATAAGAAACAACAACAACCGTGATAAAAATATATAAATAAAACTTGAAATTAACGGAATATGTAAAAGTTTACGTCACACCTTTCACCATGTGACGGCACACCGTTTGAGGAACACTGCTTTATATCTTCACCCTCACGAAAAATGCTGCTATACCACTGATACAAAATATTCTATTACTACTTTATGTTCTTGTTATTATATTACTAATTCAAATATTTATTTTTATTTTCAAAATATGATAGTATCTACTTATCTAACCGCTTAAAAGGAATTTTTGGACAAATAAATTATGTCCTTCAAATCCAATGTTCGCCTAAGTTCAAGAATTACTCAATAAAAACATCGGGAAATTAATCGTTTCTATTTATATGCATTTCAGATCGAACATTTTTGCCGATCCCTCCTCAGTAATTTTGCATACTACCGATGCTCTAGGCTACTGTGTAACATTCATCTTCCAGTTCTAGTCTATCAGTAACTTATTTCTTCAGGTGACTTATATAGTGGGTATAAGTCTAAACCACAATTCTGAATTTAAAAAGTTGTCTACTTTATTGAGTATGATTAGAAATTCCAATTTCATAATACATTAACAACTGAAAGATTGCATTAGAAGTTAACCAATTACTATTCAAAATGTTCTCATTGTGAATAGCAGGGGGTCACCAAACTTTTTTCACAGTGGGGCAGATAACTGAGCAAATGACAAGCGCTGGCCGCATAACCATTTTGTTCAATAAAGCACACTGAATACACAAAAAATAAAAAGCAACCAACATATTTATTTACCAATACACACGATGACTGCGGCAGGCTCATAATCGCCTTTCTTAGTAACTTCATTGCAGATGTACTTACACAAAAAGCATTGATATCCAAAGTCGCAAAAAGTTGCCAAATTTTTCATTTCGTTGATTTTCCTAAATATATTATTGTCAAATGCAAAATCCAGACGAACCAATTTTGGCATTTTTACTTATTTTAATTTTTTCTACATAAGTTCATATACAATCTATGATATTTTCATATAAATAATTAATTTTAGCTCATTTGTGGCACAGTACAGCCACAGGCCAGATGAACTGACCTCGCGGGCCATAGTTTGGAGACCCTCTGGTGAATAGTACTGTTTAACCAACAGACTGCCGAAAATCTATCGGGCTAGTTTTATGCTAATTATTAAATAAACTAGCCCGATAGATTTTCGGCAGTCTGTTGGTTGTAGCTATATTATATATCGGGTTGGAGATGTTTGTATGTACTGTTTAACTTTTAGAAGTCTAATCAATAATTTCTTAATGTCTCTTTTAAAACAGGAAATACTTTTATTACAATTATTTGGATTATAAGCTAAAGAATTAATTTTTAAATTGTTTTCCTTGTAATTCTATACTGTTTTTATTTTCAAACAGATGATTATAAATAAAAACTAATGAACTGATACCAAACAAAATTAGTTTTATTAATTTGTCTTATTTTTTTTACAGATTACTGCTGATCTGTTGGCATGCTTCTGATAATATCTGAATCACCTGCAAAAAATAATTTTTTAAAAGATTTAATTTCAAATTCCAATTAGAAAAACAAATATTTTTTGATATTTTTTAAATAATATTTTGTATATTAAAGTATATGTTTAAAATAGCAATATTCCAAATACATTAATTTTACTTTATGCTTTATATATATATATTTTAAGGGGGAAAAAAACACTTTCAGTCTTTAAGTTAACAATTAATGTATATGTGAATTTAAGATAAAGTGAAGTAAAAATAAAACAAAGTAAATCAAAAATGTGTTTATATTATCAAACATTCAGACATACAACAATTATTCTTTGTTTAGAAACTAATAATAGCCATAAAAAATATACATGAAAAAACAAAATATGTTAATTTAAAATACCAATTAACATTTTTATATTTGCAAATTATTTTTCATTTCCTATGTCAGATAAGTATTTCATATAATTTTTCTCTCTTAAAATGCCTTTACCCAAACCATTCATTCAAATTATGAAATAATTGTAATTCAGATAATTTTTCTACAGTTACTGATTTAACAAGTTACAATGAAAGTGAAAAATAAATGCATATTTAATTCATTTCTATAAGCCATGTCCACATGGCTTATAGAAATCAAACAACAAATAACAAATCTTCAAACAATTCTTAAAATTAATATTTAGATCAGTAAGTTAAAATGTTTATTAACCCTTTAAAAGTGAGTTTTTCATTCATTTTAAAAATTGTTAAAGTTAAAAATGGAATAAAACATCTTGTTAAATAATAAAAATCAATTGCTTAATAATTGACATAAAATTATACAGTGATTTATAAATGAAGTAATACGTGATGTTCATTAAAACAGGAAGGATACAAATATCTTTTCCGCATTAAATCTCTTCCAACCCTCACTGCTTTCCCAATACAAGTTTAACACGTTCACGACATCAGTAGATAAACGTTTAGGCAGTTGCTGGTTGTTATGAGTCACCCGTGCCTCATACTATTAATATATTTTATTGTACCTAATAAAATAATATTGATATATCAAGTATGATGTTTGTAGAATTATGTTATCAAAACATATGCGCTGCCCCACGGAAAAACAAGCAATTATGTCTGTCGCCCTAACTAGACATGTCCAGACGAGTCACATGTGCATTGTAATGCCGTGAACGTGTTAAAAGTAAATATGTAAAAATTCACAAAGCAGTTGATTACTGGATGAAACAGAAAACAAGCACACCAGACTACATAAACAGCCACTTTATAAAGAGTAAAATTTAATACCTGTTCTTGTTCTACCATTTACAGTAGAACCTCCATTATCCGGATTTTCGATTATCTGGATTGTTCAAAATAAACAAAATTTTTACGAATTTGCTGTTTTGCACTTGGCAAATTATGACACTGTTTATGTACATGATGGAATGCATAACTTTTTTTGTTTCAACAAAGTCTCCCCAGCACAGTAATCGTAAACTCTTAAATATATTTTACGTAGTAATAAAAATATAACTTGACATACATATTTATTAATAATTTATATTCAAATTACATCATTTCTATGACCAAGGGCGGCGTAAGGCATGGACGACGTGGGCCACCGCCTATGCCTCGCGGTCCGAAGGGCCTCGCGCCTCGAAGGTTTATGCATTACTTAAAAGCCGCGAACGCGACGAAAAAATTTTACTCGTCATAAAACGATAAATAGTTTGTCAAATTTTTATTCATAAAAATGCAGTTTCAACTGCTTTTTATTTTATAAAATCCGTCTTCTTGCGCCACCAGAGGGCCTTTTAAACAATAGGTAGTCTGTTAGCGTTGGTCAGTAGTAGTCCAAATTCAATACGAACGTTTGTTTCTTGAAAATTTGATCACGATTTAAATACAGTATTTACTTTTAATATTACCGATATGTCATCGAAAAGAAAACGTGTTGTATTATCATTAAAAGACAAATTAAAGTATTTGTTTCGATTATCCGGATTTTTCCTTATCCGGACTACCTTCATCCCCAATTAGTCCGGATAATCGAGGTTCTACTGTATTTATTTTTTATTCAGCATTGTCATGTATATGACTGATTGGCATAGGACATGTAAGTCATACTGATATGGCAGATCCATGCACAATAATATGTTGCTAGTGATCTTGGAGCTAATGTTTTTTTTTTTACATAATCTATCTACATGTACTATGTGTAAGCAAGCTATCAGTGACCCACACTTAGAAATTTCTAGTTACATCCAAAATTGTATGCACTTATAACAGCAATATTAATCAATGAACAAAAACTTTTTTATATCAACTCAGATTTTCTAGTATTCTCAACAAAATACCTCATCTATAAGACCCATAATATGCATTTAGGTTTTAAAATTTTTTGATTTGTTTTGTAGTCAATGCTCTTGTGAAATCCGGAATTTCTACCGATTTTTTCCCCGGTCAATGTCTCGTTATTACCTAAAAACCAATTAAATTTCCCTAAGAAACTAAAGTGGAAACAACTTGAAAGAGGGAGAAATTTTAACCTCCCCTTTTTTCCAAGGTAAACATTCGCCCATCTCAACAACTATTCCCACACTATAAGACTTAAAGTTACCATCCGATTTTGTCATTTTATTTGGGTTCCGGAGACACCTCTGACCTCCCCACACACCTTTTACCTCGTAACTAATTAGTCACATGACAGTTTTTCCACTGTAAAATGGTAAAAGCCACTTCTCCCCCCTCAAAAGAATTGTTCCAAGGATTTACCTTTAACTTGTGCCCTACATTTGTGTTCTAGGATATCCACATCTAGAAAGAGGTATGGAACCAACTTCTGTGAACCCCTCGTGCTCTACGGACTCTGATTTTTCACTCGGAATTCCGCGATGATAGATTATTGTATAATCTAGGTAATTAACCAATAAATCATTGTTTCTTTATTAAATTGGTGTCCTCTTTTACTCGTATAGCGTCAGTCGCCTTTCTGATGGCACTCCTCCCTCCTACACGTGACCCGAAAAATTTGCCCTGTTCTTGCAGGATAAACTAAAGGAAATTTAAGCCATCTCTGACTAGTGGACAAGTCCTCCCGACTTGAAAGCCAATCCATGGAGGTACGACGTAGTCATACCCCTCGGTTCTCACACTCTTAATAGTAAAAGGACATCATTATGGATAATAAGCAGACATAATTACACTTATACCATTTCACAACAATAACATACCTCACTAGCAATAAATGATTGACAGTCACCTTTTTTTTTTTCATTTGAGAATGGAATTTGGGCATGTTTTTCAATTAGATATTACCACAAACTCCTGTGAGGAAACTTAGCAAAAACCTTAAATTAAAGGACTACAGAACCATCCAATACATATGCCCTTTATCCAAGTAAGGCTCTACAAATGTTTTTACATTTTCAGATATATCCAATCATCATCATTACTGATTTCTGTAGTTAAGCCAGTGTACACTATCAGATATTATACAGGTTGCACTATTTTACATCAGTAATGTGTTCCTGTAGGTAGCCTCATAAATAAAATTGTTACAAAATAAATCCATTTTATAATAGAATAAACAGGAATGTGTTCCAGACATTCATGATTAACAATTAATTATATATATTTCAATTTTTATATAGCCACTGTGTTGATCTTGTATGCAGTGCTGCTGAACACAACTTCCAATTCTGCAATGATTATCCCTTAATAATTATGTAGGCTGAGGATAACGCACCTTCATATAATATGAATCTAAAGTTGTTTGCTGTGCTTTTTCTTCTTGAGAATTTCATAAGGTGCTACAGCTTCATTTAAATTCCTCCTTACAAAGTCACTTTGCTCCCAGTCAGAGTCCATTTTACAACATACTTAGACTTTGGATTCACTAATTCCCTTTTATTTAACATGGCTATTCTTTTTCTCTTTTTTATTATTACAGTAATGTCACTTTAAAAATGTTGAACTGTCACCTGAACAATAAACAATTTCGAATAAACAAACCAATGCTGCTTAGAATCACTATTAAAGCAAAGTTTCTAGTAGCAATACACAAAGTATAAAAAATATTTGCATTTGGAAATTGAAAAAAAATGGTCTGTACACTGTGGAAAACTTATCAGTTATTCAGCATGGAAAGAAATCAACAGAAATTGAAGGATTTAATTGCTTTTACAGTAGGCCTATCTAGGTAGTGCAGTCAGTGCTATTCAGTTTAGTGCAGTCTGGTGGCTATCAAAAATATGTTTCCTCTATTTTAAAATTAAAGTATACATAAAGAAATCATTTGAAAAATTTATTTTTTACTTAAAAAATCCATTAAATTTCTATATGTGCTATCAACTACAAAATCCAAAACACACCCAGAAACTTCAATTACCAGATTATCTTAGTTAAACAAAAGAATGTGATTATCAATTCCAGATGACATTTCCATTACTGTAATGCTTCATAGATAAAAAACTTTAATGCAAAACACATATTTTGAAGGACTTCCTTTAATAAAAAGTATGATTGAAGTTATTAGTCTAACAATATGAAGTTATCCAATACAATTAATATGGGCTTTCAGGTTGTATATTTTGTATTATCGGCATCTATTAAACACTAACCAAAAACTGAATTTATTATTATTACTATTAATACCCTTATTAAAAGTTTATTCAATAAAAATTAAAAAACAGTTGAATAAATGACTAATTTATTCAGACTATTCTAATTTATATGATTTTAAATTAGAACAGTCTGATAAAATTACTAACAACATCATTACTTTCATTTTAATTTCAATATTTAAAAACATTTTACCTGGATCAGTAATGCTAAGCGCACAAACTCTGAAATATTTTCCACATGCCGTGCCTAATTCAATATTATTTCCCGAATAATGATGGACGCCAGTTTTTGCTAACATGGCATAATATTCTATTTCACTTTTCCTGAAATTATAAAATAAAACAACATTTAATTGTTTAAAAAAATGTTAACAACAAATGCTAGCTGAAACAATTCATAATGTATAATGATTTTTTTTAATCAATAAAAAATTAATCTGATTTATTAAAACACTTCATCAAAATTTTTAATGAAAAGATATTAGCACAGTTATAATTTGTAAATGTGAATGCAATGGTCTTGCTCAAAGATACTGCAAAGAAGAAATCTCAAGACCATTACAAACTACATTTAAAGAATATACAGCAGCAGTAAAAATTAAAACATTGTAATTCAATAGTTTATGTAACAAATGAGCATTAATGTAATATTATTGAGCAGTCAATTAAAATTATAAGAAAAAAATAGTTTTAAAAGGAAAATGCTGGAAAATATATTAATAAAGAAAATTTGCAATACATTATATTTTATAAATTTAAAATTCAATGAAATAAGCAATACAGCAGAAACACAATTAACTAAAGTAATGTGGACCAACACTGCCTCAGATAAGTATACAGTCATAGCCATTTCAGATTAAAAATTACAAATGTAAAAGATTTATATAGTACGAGGGTCATCCTAGAAGTACCCGACCTGACATATAGATGGCGGTAGTTGTTTGAAAAAATTACGTGTTTGAAAGTATCAACCTTATAAAGCTTAAGTTTGAAGATGCTACGTTGTTTAGTATTTGTTTGACAGCCATCAATAGTGGACGATCTCAGTTAATTTGTAAACATGGAAAAAATTGGTCATTGTTATGTGATACAATACTTTCATTTGAACGGTCTCAGTCCAACCAATATTAAAGCTGAGCTAGATTCTACTCTGAAGGAGCCTGCTCCCTCGTTTACAACAATAAAATATTGGGTGGCAGAGTTTAAACAAGGCCACATGAGCTGCCAAGACGAACATTGCAGTGGTTGATCAAATGAGGTGACCATGCCAGAAATGGCGAAAAAACCCACAAAATGGCATTGGATGACTGTTGACTCAAAGTGCAAGAGCTAGCATACATGGTAGACATTTCAAAAAGTGCTGTACATCGCATTTTGACTGAAAATTTGGACACGAGAAAGCTGTGTGCAAGATGGGTGCCATGTTTGCTCACAATGAGACAAAAACAGTGTTGTGAGGATGTTCCAATTAAGTGTTTGGCAATGTTTTGCAGCAATAAAGCCGAATTTTTGTGTTGATTCATAACCATGGATGAAACATGGGTCCATTACTTCATGTCTGAGACGAAAGAACAGTCGAAAGAATGGACTGAAAGGGGAGAATCGGCTCTGAAGAAGGCAAAAACAGTTCCATCTGCTGGCAAGGTCATGGCATCAGTTTTTTGGGATGTGCGTGGAATAATTTTCAATTGATTATCTTCAAAAAGGAAAAACAATCAACGGTGAGTATTATGCGAACTTGCCACAGCGCGTGAGTGATGAAATCAAGAAAAAATGGCCGCATCTGGAAAAAAAATATTGTTTCATCAAGACAAGACAACGCACCAGTCCACACATCCATTATCGCGATGGCCAAAACCAATGAGTTAAGGTTTAAATTGCTTCCTCATGCACCCTATTGCCAGATTTAACCCCTCGGATTATTTTCTCTTTCCAAATTTGAAAAAATGGCTCAATGGTAAAAGATTTGCCAACAATGAAGAAGTGGAGTCTGCGGTTGATGGCTATTTTGAGAAGCTTGACAGTTCTAACTATAAACAGGGTATTGAAGCTGAGCATATAGTACACTTCACGCCAGGATTTAGAAATTAAATATAGAACACTTCCTGTTGTGATGTTATTAACAGCGATTTGTTAAATTTCAGATATACTCGCAAGTACTTTCAACAGTTTACAACCGTCATCTTCAGGCAAAATCGAATATCTTTATTGTCAAGTTGATAGCTTTAACGAACTTTTCAAATTACGTAATGCACGTGATTGGAATTTAGAACAAAACATTAAAATTGAATAATTAAATATTTTTAAAGAAACGTGCTGTAATAACATAAACTCCCCAAAATATATAAATAGTTAGTAATGGTACTGTGTATGGTAGTGGTATAAAATTAAACACAAAATTATAACTTGTATTGTTTAAATAAAATTATCCATAACTGTGGTATTTTCAATGTCGGCGCATTACACGGCAGTGCAACTGATATGTAAAGGTTCTCCCATATGAATATTTGTCTACGATCATTGCAATGCTTAAGCAATTTAGTGTGGTCCCAAAGTGGAAGATAACCTTGGTCTAGAACCTTTTTTGCTAATTCTGTTGCTGGTCTGTTATTTCTAATGTCTTCTTGATGTTCAAGGATGCAGGACTGTATCATTCTGGTGGTAGCTCCAATATAGATAATTTCTTTCCCTGATATTGTATGCATTAATAAAATTTTATAAACCCCTGATTTTTCATTCAATGTGATAGTGTCTCTATCGTTGCACAATGTTCTTCGTAGTGATGGTTGAGGAGTTATAGGTAATATAAAACCATGCTTTCTAAATATATGTGTTATTTTTAGTGAAATGGTGCCCAAATATGGTATTGGAGGATTTATTATCTTTAGGTCTTCTTTTTTGCACAGGAAAGATTTTGGAAACAATTTGTTTATGACCTGGTTGTAGAGATATCAATACTTGGAATTAGAATATACGACATTGTGCACTGCTCTGTTGATAATTTGTAATTCTGTATCAATTAATACATGGGTGGATGGGATGAGAAGTGCTCTCTGAATAAGAGAAGTAATAGCAGAGTTTACAAAGTTTGAGAGTTAGAAGGCAGTTGCAGGGATAATATCTGGCACTTTGTTGTTTTTGTGGTGCACTGCAAAAATTAGCTCTGAAGATCTATGTATTTCCAAGTCTAAAAAGGAAATTTTGTTATCTTGCCCCTCTTCTACAGTGAAATTGATAGAAGAATATATTGAAGCAAACATTTGAATAAATTTGTCTAAATCCTCTGCAGAGCCATCCCATGCAAGCAAAATATCATCAACGTATTTATCGTAGATACATGATAGGATAGTGGAATGTTAAAGCTGCGTGGAAAATACTTGTGAGTATATCTGAAATTTAACAAATTGCTGTTACAACGCTGCAACAGGGAAGTGTCCTATATTTAATTAGTATTGAAACTATTGAACATTGCTGGGAAAAGTGTATTGAGCTAAAAGGAGACAATGTTGAGAAATAAAGATATGTTTTTCAAATTTTTGTCTTCTTTGTTAGGTCGGGTACTTCTGGGACTATCCTTGTATCATTTTAAGTCTCTTATGCCTTAGTGAACATATTATTATACAATATAAAAAAATATTGTTGCATATGATTATCATATAGCTAATACATACAATAATTTTAAGAATAAAAAATGTGTATTATTGTAGTTACATTTTAATATGATTAATTTGTCTGATATAAAAGTTAAACAATAAAAGGTAGCAAAATAAATCATTTTGCAATACATGTTATTATTTAAACTCTCTTTAAATAGTCCTTCAGAATTTCTCTTATAGTTGTTCTTCCCTTTTATGCCATAATGTTCTGCAGTTACCCCAGCAACATTTTTCATGAATGGTCCTAGATATGCTGGTTTCTGGCTCTCACCACCTAGTACCCTCATTGTGAATCTGGCCAAATCTGTGATGTGAATGGGAAAATGGCCCTCTTAACCTACTCCCTAGTATTCCTGACATATCTCAGGTCACAACCTAATGTCCTTGATCTGTGGACCCAAGATATCTTGGAACATTTTTGAAACTAGATGTCGCTAGTTGTTATAATTTTATATTAAAACTAACTTCCGAAATATATATTTGTTTGTTTTTACATTTATTAATATATCTATTTTTGTTTGTGCATAATAAAAAAATAATTTTGAACAATATGATTATTTTTTCAAAACGTGTAATTTTCATTAGTCTTAACATCAACAAATTCAAGATGGCACAACATGCAATAGAGAAAAATTTCAACATTAAATAGGTTAAGTATCCCCAGGATGGAAAGAGTAAAAAAAAAAAAATTTAATGTATTTTTCAATGGAAAGCTTTTCTTGTCTTTGGAAATGTTCAACAAAAGCTAGGAGCCATTACACATGCATTGTAACAAAGATTTGCAATCCTTATTTTCTCTTTGTTGAACCACTTATTAGTTGGCATCAACTTTTTTAAAGAATTATTTCTGCCATTTTTTAAATCACAAAATGACTGGTCTCTCTGTTGATAACTGATGAACTAGGGGTGCAACTATGTAGACTAAGCAAGCAAATTTTCCAAGAGAGCGAGAATATGTGGCAAGAAGATGTGAGACACAGTTAATATGTCAGATATGTGTGAGAACCAGAAATTCACTCTCACCAGCAATATTTCTCGATTCTCGCTTGTGTGTGTTTTCCACAAAGAGCAACTTGGTATCTAACAATATCAGTAATGGTTTCAGTGTCGGCAGAAGCACCCGAACACAGCAATAAATGTAGTCGGTGATGCGAGACAGTTTGTCTGAGACACGGTTAGCTACGTACACTCCTGTAGTACTTCTTGAATCGGCTCCGATAACAACTCCGCCTTCAAACTCCACTGCCATAATTGAAGCACCAGTCATGTGCTGGAACATCCATTCAGGAATATATTGATCATTCATTGTAGAAAAGCTTGAATAAAACTGATGACTTTGCTTGACACTCATTGCCACCATTTTGATTAACAATGTGCTCCAAAGCAGTGAAATTCACCTACTCCAACTTGGGCAAGCTGGGCTTTCAATTTATCTGTAGTTCAGCCATGTTTCCTTTGTGCTTAGATGATCTGCATAACAGCAGCATAATTGACATACCTCAACTTTTGCTGAGCATTCGGCTTATTGATGGCTCAACCTTGTTTCTTTTCAATGAATCTACACAACTATCTTCAAACTATTTATAGACGTGTGTAGTAACTTTCAAACCACTAACTTTTATAAGGACTGTTCTGAACACTGATTTTACTTGGGTTCTAAGCAGAACTTTCTGTGTCAGTGAATATCACTTGGACCCAAGTAAAATGGACTTTAAAGTACACATCTGCAATGTAGTTCAAGAGCTCTTGTGCACAGCTATGAACTGCTAAGCATATTTTTCTTTTGTTTATTTGAACATTATAATTCGTTTTGATAATTTTATTTATCCTAATATAAGTCATAAGCATATTAAAAATATATATTATTTACTCATATTGTATACAAATACTGGTTACTATATATTTAAGAATATGTATAACTTCCTGGTAATGCTCTAGTGAGGCCAGGACATGTACCATGTACTTAAATAAAAAATGAATGAATGAATAATGTGCATGTTTTCCTTTGCAATAACTATATTGCACACAACTAAATTCATGTCTGCATAGTTGCACCCTAATGGTTGGTTTTTGGAACAACTATCACAGCAAAGAGAAAGATTCTGAGGAAGCTTTTCATTATGATATTGGCTTTTGTCAGAGAACCTACATTAATAAAAATGAGGTCATAAAAAGAGATGATTTAAATGCTTTGTGATTTATAAGAAAGCTGTAAATCCAGTACAGTAAGAGATACAGATTGAAAATATCCTTATTATGTATGTTTTATATGTTTGCATTTCCTTAAGCTTATAGACAAGGAATATACTTTAATATTTATCTAATATATGTATTAAATAAATATTGAAGTATAGTACTTTGTCAGTTTTATAACAAATTGATGTGATATATTTTTATTGGTTTTGAATGTAGTCTGAGAGTGTAATAATGCCAAAACAAGTCACTTTAAACAAATTTTAAAAAAAGTCTTAAGAGAGCTGTGAATTATATACTGCAAATATGTGATTAGTATAAATCTAAATATTACATACATTTATTATCTTTTCATTCAATGTAAAGATAATAAATTCAAGAAATAAACTTAACTAATTAATATAAAATCAAAATTTGATATAAATAGCAGTACAAATTTTATTTAAAAAATAATTTTAACAAAAAATAATTCAAATTTCTTACCTTAATGGTGGTGTGTTATTAGCAATTATAATTAACTTTGCTTTTCCTTGACGCAAAGTCTTCAAAGTTTGTTTGTACCCTAGTACATATTTTCCTGACTTCATAACAAGAGCAAGACGAGAGTTAATGCTCTCCAAAGCTTTTTTCTAGAAGAAAAAAATTATTATTTCAAAGTTTTTGTATGACTTCATTTAGTAATAAACAGGTGACTATCAACTATGATCACAAAGCCTTCCTTTCTTTTAAAGTTTTAAAAATTTAAGTTCTTCTGAAAAATTTTTAATTGATTAACTTTATATTTCTTAAAATACAAATTACATTGCTTTCTATCTTGGTTTCCCGATAATTATAAACATATTTAAATAAGAATCTACAAAGAACAAAGAATCTGCTAAGTACCAAACTCAAACATAAATATAAATGAAAACAGGAAATGAAATAAGCTTTTGGATAAACTTTATATTTATAAAACATAAATATGTAATTTTATAAAATTTTAAATCATTTATAATATTCTAAAAAAATGTTAGCCTAAAAATTTCAGTTAGTGAGTCAGTGTGTATGTATTAGTTCAATCAATAAAAACGTATACCCAAAGATCAGGATTTAATCTCTAATAGAAGTTTGTGCCTTCCAAAAAAAATCACAGCATGGTCTGGTTTTAAGAACACTTGATCTTTGGGTGTTTGTTACTACAAATCCATAAATTATGAAAATCAGTGAATTGTTAGGATGACCTCAAATCTACAAAAACAGATCTAAATGGAAATCATAGCAAAAATCATCCAAAAAACAACAATAGATTATTGTTCACTAAACTTCACTAGAGCTTCAATGAAGTGTTTCCATCAACTGAAAATCATCAACTGTCAAAATTTGAATGATAAACTATCTACACAAGTAATTTTCAACTGATGTGCCATGAAAATTTTTGAAGGTTCTTAAATAAATTATTTTTGAAAGAAGCTCAAAGAACAATAATGTACATTTCAAAATTAAAACCTCTTTAAATTGATTATATGAGTTTCTCGTAGTTATAATAACTACATAATGTAGTAAAAATGTATATTCATAAGCAAAATTATATGTGCATATTACTGGGTTATTTCATTTAAAACGAAATTGTCTTTACATCAAAAATGTATCTATAATTGTTCATATTTAATTTAAATTACTTTAACTTAGAAACAGCAGGACATTGGTCAAGATTCTAAAGGCAATTAATCATCATGCCACTTTTAAATGAAAATTAAGACTTAAAGTTAATTGCTTTTCTTAAATCAGATATCTCATTAAATGTTCAATTATAATAAACCAAAAAGTAACAAATTCTTAAAAAATCTTATTTATTATCTATTTATTAGAAATTATAATAAATTGCTTTGTGTCAATAAATAATTTATGAAAAATACAATCTTTCTTTTTAATCATTATTACTTAAAAGTGTGCCATGGAAATTTAATTATAACCAAGACTCATCACTGGATATAACTCATGGCCATCATTTGAACAGTATAGATCAGTGTTTTTCAGCCTTTTTTATCTAATGGCATGATCCTTGAATAGGTTCAAGTGTGCCATGAGATAAAAATGATCAAATGATTGTCATGAGTTATGTCCAGTGATTAGTCTTGGTTTCATTTTATTCAAAATGAAAAAGACAAAAACAATAATTGTAATTGTTAAACTCCTGGGACCAGATTCACAATGTCTTCTAAGATATTACAAAGAACTCTCCAATATTGAAGTTACCAAAAACGAATGTTAATTTATATTCAAAAAAACATCTTAGCATTTACAACAAAACAGAAGAAATTGATACTGGATATGTAACTAATGACATCACTAGTGACTGCTTCTGTTTATTTAATAAATCCACTGCTGTAAGAAGCTGGTCAAACTGTTTTTGTGAATAAAACTATTCATTTGACTAACAGAATCATTAATGCACTTGTCAAATTGCAAAAGGACCTCCCATGGTTTTTCATTAGGCTTGAAGCAGTTTTCAGGTGGCAATTCAAACGTCTCCACTTCCTTTCATTTTCTCTAAGCTGGGCATTGGTGGTATTGACAAGATATGAATTGTCATTTCACATGGTAAGTGCTTTGTTAGTAAATACTGTAGATATAGATACTTACCTACACTGTTTGTTGTTAGGTTGCATACCTGCAAACCAATGTTCACAGGCAGTTCAAAAGAGTAACCTTTTGAGCAAAAATATAAAGTCTAGCACTTGATGCATCTACCAATATAACTCAAAAGAATGTGACAATGAACTTAATATTATACTAAAGCTAATATATTTAGTAGCTTCTGCTTTCAATACTAACATACAAGGAAGCATTCTTTCAAGCAATTTTTCCCTCTTAATTTTTGCCATTAACTTTTTACTTTGTGAAACTAATTATTAAAGAAAAAGCTTACTGTTTTGTTAAAAATGACTATAGAACATAACTTTCATCTCATAAATGTTTCAATTAATAATTTTGGCAAGATTTCAAATGAGATCGTTCCACATGACTCTATAAACAATTTTAATTCCTCACTTCCCTGAACCTGTTACTAACATGTAACACGTATAAGAAATATACAGCAGGTGACAAACATTTTTGAACTATCTCACAGTTCTTCCTCAGGTCAACTAGCTTAGGAATGCTTCTGAACGGAACGTGTGGAATTTGACGGAATCGAGTTTCATTTTGACAAAGTCAGTTTTGCTTGACATGTGCGGTCGTGAGCTGGTGGAAGTAGCCACGGGTCGGCATCTAGAAGGGACTGCCAGGCCAGCAACAGGTTTTGCTCCTCTTTCTGGTTGATGCATGTGGCTACTTGGCCTGTTTTGTAAATGGCTATGGATTCTAGCCATTTAAGGTAGTCTGGTGGGGTCTGCTGACGATGACTGTAGCTCTATCGAAGTGCACCTTGACATCCGGATCGGATGCATACATTACTGCCAACCCATGGCTACCTCCACCAGCTCACAACCACGATGTGGATTACTGGGTGATGTTGAACACCATATCTTTTATTGTATTTCATTGGAAGCTGAGAGACTTAATCTAAGAATTTTAACATCCAAATACAACCTAAACTGGCCATGTCAATATGAAGAACTCATAAAATACAGAGATATTTTCTCTGCTTTCCTGCAATTAACTAAAAAACACCAGAAAATAGCGAATCTCGCTACTAGGGATTAACAATCCTCTTACTTTTAACATTTTATTGTATAAGACTGGTTATATATTTTGACACTGGTATTTCTGGTTGGTAGTAAAGCATGAGTTTTGAAGCTAGGTTTGTTCTGTCCATGTAATATTAGGATAGTTCTTGTTGTAACTCTTAAGTAAAAACTGAAATCGTAGAATTCAAAATAAGAAAATCCCTAAATGAATTCCTTTTTCAAACATCGCCTCAGTGTGAATACCATAACATAGGTTGTTGAATAATTCGGTACATAATTTGGACTTTCTGTTTTATTTGCTTATTTCTAAATCAATAAAGCATAAATATATATCTCTGAATGGAACAACACAAATTTACGTTATTATCTTTATAATGATTTTGGTTAGATAAATAGTTTGGTTTTCTACATTTGTCTGTTTCCTATATGGTTTAGATGTCTAATAGGATCTATGATAGTGGTTGATAGTTGGTTACAATGACATCACACATATTAAAATAAAACGAAGACACCTATGAGATAAAGTTATTAACACAAAGTTATAAAGAACTTTAACTTTATAACAAAGCTAATAATACGAATAGTGACAAATGTAAAAAATTTAAATCACAGTAACAATATGCAAAAAACGTTTTCTGTAATACTATTGGATACCAGCGGAGATACTTGGCAGCAACCAGAAGTGACAATGACAGCTGAAGCAAGTGATTTCTGTTCAAACGACAAAGGATGTTTGTCAATACGATGCAGAATATTAGAAATTCCTAGAAGATAATGTGTCGTAACATCTCATCTGCAGCTGAGTGCAAGAACTGCTAAAGTGCACAAGGCTGACTATTCGTTAAATTATTTTGTACAACAGGATCTCTTGAAAACAGGAACTTCGATGGTTGTCAATAGTGTTATACTGGACTCAATAACAGGCTAAACAACTGACTGATTGTAATATTTAGGTTAAGTTAGTTTTTAATTAAGTTAAGTACTTTTATTTTGTTTATTTTAAATATGTATAAATGTATAAATATATCTGCTTATTTCTGTTTAGTAAATTTGTACATATGTATAAATATAATGTTACGCGAATATATATGTAACATCATGTAACATCATAATATATATGCAATACTATATGTATCATATAAGTAATATAATATGTACTATAATATGTAACTGTACAGGAAAACTCTCAGCTATGTATCATACGGTGCTGAGAATGCACCAATTGGTGCTAAATAAAGAATATTGAGTATTGAGTAAAGAATATTGAGTATAGGATAGCAGACACCGGTGGGACAAAGAAGTTTGTCTGCTATGCTATTCAGAGGTACATGCTGATGGTATACTATATCTTAACCTGGTCATCATATAGTGAAGAATAC